CTCCAGAGTAGCTAAGCGTGGAGTTAGTATGGAGCTAGAACACTGTTCTCAGATGACAGGACAAGGAACAACGAGCTCAAGCTGCAGCAAGGGAGGTTGAGGTTGGATATTAGGAAAAACTCTCACGAGATGGATAGTAAAGCACTGGAACGAGTTACCCAGAGAGGTGGTGGACTCTCCATCCTTGGAGGTGTTTAAGATCCAGCTAGACAAAGCCTTGGCTGGGATGTAGTTGGGGCTGGTCCTGCTTGGAGCAGGGGGTTGAACTAGATGCAACCGCCTGAGGTCCCTTCAACCTGAATTTTTTTTATTCCAAGTCCCTTTTAATTCAGATCTTCATTTATCACAAATTGGTACTAGGTCACTTTTTTTTTTTTTTTTTTTTTAAATAAACGTGTCATGCTGAAAGGCCTTCAGTCTATTTTTTTAACCACTTATATCCTACTGAAGCAGAAAGCTCTTATTCAAGTGCCCACACACCGCCTTGAACTGAAGGTATGAATTACAACAGAGGTAGTTACTTTGATCCCATCTTTGTCTTGGGCTAGGGCTAACAGATGTTTCAGAGGAAGGTTTAAGAACTCTACAGTAATCCGAGGTGAAATAATCCATCTCTCTTTTTCCCTTGATGTTAGGCTTTATACTGAACTAACAGACTGGGTAGAGACAGATTGGTGAGAGGGTTTAAACCCTGGAAGATAGAATGAGCAAGGACCCCCTAGCGTAGAAACTTGCAACTGGGGAGCCGCACCCTCTGGCCCATGGAAGGTGAATGCTCCCCTCCCTCATCTGGAGCCCTGGGCCTGCCCCAGCAGATGCCCCTAAGGGGACTGCCATCGCTGCTGCCCTCTCTCTGCACCTGTACCAGCTGGCTGCACCCTCCCAGCAGCAGGCTCTGCTGCAAACAGGCAGGCAGATGGGTGGACATGGGGGGCAGAGCATTTTGCAGCCTGGCACATCCCCTCTGCTTCTCATGCTCCTGGTGAGAAGGACCAGGGAGACAGTGATCAGCATGAGACCCTGCAGGGACAGCCTTGATGGTGGGGTCATCCTCGCCCTTACACATACAGACTAGAGGTGGGGAGTGGAAAGAGCAGGGCATGGCAGGGTGAGGTCCTGCCCTCCCCAGATAGATCAGTGGCTCTCAATCCCGAGGCACCCTTGGTATCTTTCCTGAATTTAGATTATACCTCAGTGATTTCTTGACAGAATTTCCTGACATCCAGTTAAGTCCTGGAAGGGCCCTGAGGCTCCAGAGGTTAAAAACTATTGCCCTAGCAGTTTGTGCTGCTCCTGGAATTATTCTTGCAATGCATTGTGGGATGCCTGCTCCCCATCCCTGGGATTCTGGGGCTGGGCTCATTCCCAAAGCTCAGCTGCCTTTTGTGACCGTGCACCACCACTGAACTGCAGTCACGAGCATGGAGGAGGCACTGCTCTGCATGGCAGTCCTGGCCCCTCCAAATGGACAGGGGCTGCTGCACACATTAGCAATCATGCAGGTGGGTGGCCTCGGAAGCCAGCTGCCACACCGCTGAGCTGATTTGGGTAAAGGAGGACCAGGAAACTGAGTAGCCACTTATAACAACTTCTTCTAGAGCCATTTCATGGAATTAGCACTGACTGATGCAAAGGGAGAGTAACACAGCCCCAGGATGACAAGCCAGGGCAGTAGCATTCGGAGATGACCGAAGGCACTTTCCTCGAGATCTACACAGAGCTCACTGGAAGGTGCAGGATGGTAGAGGAGGGACTCAGGGCGACAACCAAGGGCTGAGAGTTATGAAAGCCGCTGCAAAACAGTTCCCTGCTTCTGTGTCACTTTGAGCATGAGAAAGGGAGGCCAGGCACCATGCAAACTGAGGACAGCTCTCTGCTCATGCTCCTCCAATAAACGGCAGAAGCTATTAGGCAACTGGGACAAGCAGTAATTCATCCCCTTTGTGCTGTAACACCTACTGCCAGAGGTTCACCTCCCCAGCACCACTGGACTAGGTTTCTTTTCAAGGTTTGCCTTGGGCACTGGCATGAGGAAGAACTCCACCTTGAAGGTCCATGTCCTGGTCAGGCTTGACTGCTGTCCTAGAAAACCACCATCCCTTCAGTGCTCATGGTGCCATCTTCAACAGACCACGGTTCAGTGGCGTCTCCCCCCAGTCAGAATCAAATCCATACCCCAGAAGGAAAATCCAGAGCTGCAAATCCTGCCAGGAAGGCTGTTTGTCTTCCCACTTCTGTCTGGCTCCTTTCCTGCACTGCAGGATTGAGAAGCATCCCAAGAGTGACCCATCTACATTTGTTTTCCTCTGCTTGGATCTCCATATTACAGAGACTAGTGATGGGGTAGGACCAAACCTTCCTCCCCCCAGATCCCAAAGAAACCCATCACTACCTTGGGAATGCAACAGGCAGCAGCTGGAGCACAGGGCAGTTACTAAAACATGAAGGTCTCCAGAACTATTACAAAGGGGTGGTCACAACCAGAAGTAAGCATGTGAGTAGAGAAATAAGATCCAGCCAGTGACCCCAAAGCAGTAGTAGAGGACACACCAGCAGACAGCCCAGTGAGGTGAGGTGTGAACTGATGCAGTATGCGATGGGGATGGGAGTGCTGCCAAGGCAGAGAGCTGAATCCAAAACAGTGCAGCAAAAGCCTTGTGTGGCTGCGCTGAACTTGTTCCAGAATGACCTTCATCTGCTTTTCAAGTGGATTTCTCTATTCACAGGAGGTGCTAGCCAGAACATCAAGAACTGCAATGAAGACATATGGGGGAGGGGGGGGGGAAGAAGAGGGAGGAGATTGCTCAAAATCCCCCCCAACAACCCCATGCAGACCTACCCAAAGTGAGCAGCTGTTCAACTGTTTGTGTTCTTAGTCTCCTGCACACGATTCAAGCCCTATTCATACAGCAGGGGAAAGTGAACTGTATGGACTACTGTATTAACTACTGATACTAGTGTTTCAAACCATCTCAGCACCCACTTTGGATGAAGGACTATTACACGCACGCTTTACAGATGGGAGGGACGGCACAAAAATTAGGGGCCGACAGTACCCACTAAGTTTAGGTAGCTGATGAGAGACCTTGCACCCGGCTTTTCAGAGCACATAATGTTATACAACAATGCATATGCCAAGCACAGCTTTCAGCAGCATCAGGAGTGGGAGGACTATGCAATTAGTAGACACCTGAGATTGCTAATGACTTGCTTGGTATCCCAGAAAGGCTGCATCCCTGCCTTGCCACAGAGCTCATTTCCCAGGGCACTAGGTACCTTGGCCAGGAGACCATCCTCTCTCAGCATCATTCACTGCATCTTTCCTAGTCATGCTACAAATGGCTGAGGAGAAAGGGTCCAGTGGGAAAGACAGCAGAGGGATAAGACACTGTGCCAGGGGTTTGCACAGGTATCTGCCGAGCTGACAGCAGTAGCATGACCCAGACACTTCCAGCTCTACAGCATGTTTCTCTGAAGGACACCACCTCTTCTGCCCATTTCTCCACCAGCCTGTCCTCTCTCTTCACCACCCCAGCTCCTGTTCACAGGACTACTCCCCTCCACTAACCCACCCCAATGCTCCCCAGGTATTCACCCAATCCATCGTCTCCTTCATTCTTTCCCTCTCTGGTTTCACACTCCTTTTTTTCTGCAGTCCCATTCTTCAACCCTATTTCCTCCAGACCCCTTGTCCCAATCTACTCCTGCCTAGCCAATCCAGGTCTTCTCCCCTCCACATTCAATATGGGCAGCTGCCGTTTCCATGCTATCTGGAGGCAGCAGAGGAGTAAGAGTAAAGAGCCTGCCTTTAGTGCTCTCAGGTCCCATTCCACAACCCCCAAGGCCAAGAAGAGCCAGGACCTGCCACTGGTGGGAAAGGCCATCTCAGCTCTGGTCTGCAAGTGCCCAGTACAGAAAACACCTTTAGGGAATTTTAAACCAAGCTAAACATTTGGACAAAAACATTCTCAGCAGCAGCAAATGGGTATCACCTGCCAAAAAACATGCATCCTTATCCAGAACATAGGGGTAGGAGCATAAGGGAAGATACCCAAAGCCTTACATTCATTCTTCAAAAGAAGCTGAACCATTTTTTTTTTTTTTTTTTTTTTTTTTTTTTTTTTT